GGTAGAAGAGGCAGATGCAGACCAAGAAAGACAATGCTTGATGGCCTGGGGCAATGGCATGGACGAATACCATTAGAGAAAGTGCTTCAGAATACCAAGATTGAGATCTGGGGAGAGATCTGTGCTGCTGGGCAGGGCACATGATGATAATGGTTCTGGGGTGGACCCCCAGTTTCGAAGATGGATCTGGCTGGACCTTAAGAAGTGTGAAGTCAACCCCAGTGTAATAAATATATCGTCACTTATCTGTAGCTACCTTTTGTGTCATCAATCACAACTCTGTGTCTGGGTTTTCATTTTCCAAACATTTCATATTGGTGACATGTTTTTTTTAGACAAATATAATTTTGCTACACAATAATTAAATCTACTAGTTTTCTAAATAATCGAGTGTGTATGATCCCTATGGGGGTTCCAGGGCCCCATTGTGGGGAAAACCTGATTAGATCCACTGCCTACCCAAAAGCCTGTAGTAAAAGCGACTAACAGAGTACATCGGCCCAACAGTCTGCATACAAACAAATGTGCATGCATGCAACACAAATTTTGCAAGAGGATTGGAGTCCAGAAGTGGACGAATGAACATCACTTTCTGCTGAAGGTTATAGCAGGTGAGCGTGAAGAAGAGTAATGTATGAGATTTGGTTGAAGCCAGTGGCTGATATAAAAGCACATGTAAATAGAAGAATATACATATGACATGAAGTTGCTTCAAAACATTTTAGCACTGCACTGTGTGCATCCAAGTTTATTGCATTTTACGTTGGCATTAACGCCCAGACATTACGTGCGGATTATTATGTTTCAACACTTTACATTCATGACTCAAACCTTTATGCTACAGTGGACACTTGTGTTCACAGCACACAATTTGGAAAGCTCTGCTCTGTATTAACAATGTGGTAATGATGTATACACTGCAGTCTTTAGTCTCACAGAAAAACTAAGAAAGTGTGGTAGTTGGCTGACATTGGGTTGTAGCAAACTTTAATCCCATTAGTGGGGTCTGGGTTAAGGCAGACCAGAGCACATTCCACTTGTGGTTACTGTGCCTGTACCTGTGAGGGCACCACACTCTTTATAATGCAGAGACATCCCTGAGCTTTCTGGACCTCTTCCCCCAAATCCATGAACATAAGCTTATACACAGTCTTCATCTCAGTAGTTCACCACTGTGCCCATATGGACTGGGCACACAACCTGAAGAACATGTCCTGCAAGTCTGTCTCTTATACAGCCCATTCAAGAGACAACACTGGCCTCCAGTGAGTCAACACCATTCTCAAAGTTGTATTGAACTAAAAAGGAGCTTGAAAAAAAGTCAGTTTTATCACAAATGGTCTGCGAGCGTAAATCATGAAAGTTATAACAAGAACCATTACCACTAGACATCCAAACATAACTGTGAGCACAAAGAAAGATTCTAAACATTATCTGAGCCTCATGTACGCCAAACCACTACTTCTGAGATAAGATCCTGAGAAAAGCCGCCAACCTTACCATGAGATGTAGTTAATAAACTATCAAAATTATTGTGGGAACGACACCTTGTACCAGATTCATTGAGAAACGGCAGACCAGGTGGTTTGGCCATATCGTTAGAATGCAGCAACATCAAATACCATCACAGGCACTACATCTCAGAAGATCAGCTGCAAGAGCAAGAGGACGGCCGCGAAAAAAATTATGGATCGACAACATTAAAGATACTTTACACCTTGATGACATGACAATAGCTAGTGCCAGCACTGGATCGCAACTTGTTCCTCCCCATGCCACTTAACAGCAGACCTGGTTAATGATGACGATGCTAACATAATCTCTCCCCACCCTCAAAGCAAATACTGGGAGGATAAAATCATCACTAGATGTCATCCTGGATATATTTATACAAGAGAAACCATCTGTTTGTTTGTTTGTTTTAGAATCCAGAAGCCACGAGTTGTTAACCCTTAGGCTCGGTATTATGGATATCGCAACCTTTCGGCCTTGATTCCATTATAAATACCGTAAATCTGGGAGAAAATGTGGCTTTCCTGCCTACCCTCGGGATTGAACCCGGACCACAAGGAGTTCGTCACCCGGTCTCCGCGCAATCCGGTTTAGCCAACTACGCTAGAGAGCCGGGCAAACCATCTGTTAAAAACTTACTGTTAAAGAATACACCGGTTGTTTCTCTTTCACGACATCTTGAATGTTAGAGACTGTTTGCTTGTCCAGTGACATCTGTTTGTGTGGGCGGGATGGGATGTCTGAGGTCCTCTGCAGCTGTTTGGATTTCTTATCTCCTCCCCACAAACACACAAGATGAGTTGTTATATCTTGATAGAGACTCTGGCGCTAATCAACCAACCTCTAATGCATAAATGAAAACGTTCATCGAAATCTCATGTAGCAGGCGACCTAAGCCAGCTGGCCGAGTACCTTAATGTCGAACGTTGGTTCAACCACGGACGTCGCCAGATTTAAATCTTTTGCTGGAAGTCACGTTTCAAACGTCCGTCGACCGAGAATCATACACTGTGGCATGAAACCTGCTGAATGGCTACTTAAGCTCAAATGCACGTCCAACGAGTGTCCCACTAAGACATCAAAGGCTTATATGTCTTTCGCTCAAAGATCCTACTTGATTACTCAAACGTTCGTTACTTGGACCCACTCGTCGGAGTGAAATGGCCGTAAAGGGAAGCTTCCCACAAATGCCGCAAAAGATGCCACTGGCAAACAGAGATGTTTAACATACAGAGAAAGACAGGTGTCCATTTGGTGAGGGAAATCGAAGTCTCCGGTATGCTTTGTGGGCCAAATGATGCAGCCTGCTTAATGTAAAGGGTCGAAGGCTCAATTTACCGATGCGAGATTAAGCAGTCAAGAACCAACCGGAGGTAACGATTCATTGGGTGAGTCCAGTACCAGAGCGCCACATATCAACTCTGCATTTGTAGAAACTTCCTTTGATGACGGAGAAATGCCCCTGCTTTTCCTGTAAAGACTGACTAATCTGCACGCGGCTTTCCTTGACTGGTCCCCTAGGGAAAACACCAGTAGATCAAGCCATGACCAAGCTACGTCACAGATGAGGCTCTAAAATGGCCTTCATTGTCCCACGAAACTAATCGGAAAGGCTAACCCCAAAAAAAGAAATACTCGAATAATTCGGAAGTGTCGACCAAAAGGCGCAATTAAAACCATCCACCCATTTATGAAAACAAAACAAAAAATTGACAATGTTCAATCAAGTACGATCAGTATCGCTATAACTATAGATGCACAACTCATTTAAGTAACTTTGACGAACGTCGACAATGATAAAGAAGAAATGTATATTACTATTTATGGGTGGTGAATTGATACATGACAAGGCAGATGTGTTCAGGCCCTTTGGGAACAAGCAACTGAATCAGTAGAGAAAAAAGATTTTTATGGCCTGGAGAGAATGAGGCACCTGTGTGTAACCAGAGGGTCTGACTGGTTCACTTCACTCAGGGGAAAGGCAAGACGGACATTTAACCAGATTGAACTCTGCGCTGGCTGCTGAAGATGAGAACGTAGCTTGCATGGGAATGTCCCGAGTGCTGTGATGTCAATTCTTGACTCAACTCAACTCCATCGTTCGTTAGTGTCGTTTCTAGCTTTCCCTGCTTATGGCAGTGTAGGCCCGGCTCTCTAGCGTAGTTGGCTAAAGCGGATTGCGCGGTGACCGGGTGACGAACTCCTTGTGGTCCGGGTTCACTCCTGGGGGTAGGCAGAAAAGCCACATTTCACCCAGTTGATCTGTCTCAGACTTCTTCCCAAGTGGACCCCCGGAATGCACAAGGAGATAAGATGGTTGTCAGTGTTGAATTAGGAATTGACATCAAAACGCTCGGGACACTTCCTTAAGCGCTCTGTTCCCATCTTCAACAGCAAACGAAGAGTTCCTATTCCGATGGCACCATTAACTGTCTGATTGTATATCCCTCTCGCCTTTTCCCCTGAATGTTAAGCTTCGACAAGATCCCCTTTGTAACTCCTGGCAGCGCTATTCTCACTAGACCGTAATGATCTAACTGTACCCTTGCACTGTTCAATATATTTGTCTTTAATTGATTGACTGACTTTCTACCCCACCAGAACATCACACAAGCGACAAACACCCATGACACAAAGTGCCACCATGTGGATGAGGATCTCGTGGAGAGGTCCCAGAAACCGCGTTCAGACAATTGGCCATATTTATGGCCTGCCTATATGGCGGCCCTGGCAAAAAGCCAGGGTGGGGCTTTAAATAAAAAAAAAACTTGTGTCCTAAAAAGGACAAAACTGGATTATGCTATATATAATTAATTGATTAAGAATCTTCCTGCCTTGTGGCGCCATATCACACAAGGCATATGCTACACCAAAAGTGGAGAAGGACGAAAATTATAAGGTAGACCAAGAACAAGATGGTAAGATAACATGACAGAAACCTTGTAACAGCAAGATGTGTATACGGTCGAGGCAACAGAAGAACAAGAAGCAGAACCGTATTTCTTCTTCGACACCCGAAAAGGAGGTAAAAGTACTAAAAGAAGATGTGACGAATAGGAAGAAACAAAAAGAGTCTTCCGTTAGTTTACGGTTGAATGTTGTAGGGGAAGTAACTGCCGCTGTCTGTAACTGCAACGAGAGATAACCACATTCGGACATTATCTTTCTGTGGTGGAGCTCTGTGTTCCCCCAACACGCCAATTGTATACACACGAACATTATTTCCATGTTTCCAGCCTTCAAACATTTATCTTCACAACTGAGCTGCACACTTTCATTCACCAGAAGCGTGTCTAGCATGAGAGAAAGCCAAGAAATGAATGTCTTTTGCGTTTTCTAACGGTCTAGAAACGGCGTCTTCTGGTTGTTTGAAGTGGACAGGACAAAGAGGTCGGTCAGTGAAGTAATTGAAATATCCAAGTAAAACCCTCCTGGGACTTAGCAGCAGAGAGGTCATACCAGAAGGTAGACTAATTCACAACTGCGAAATGAAGCAAGAAACAGAAACAGCCGATTTTCACCAGGTTATAATGTGGTGTTTGTTTACAGTTTAAATTATAATTTTGTCATCACCAACTAAACTGGATTCTAGATGATCAAAATCATTACGACATTACATATTATTATTATATTATTCTCATAACTCCATACGGGGCACTAGAGAAGTAAATCATTTACTAAATGTAGCCATTACAGTTTTTTTTTTAATTTTAATGTCTTTGGTGACTATGTTATCTGAGATTTGCTTTTTCCAGTTGCTGTCACTGTCTGAAAATTGACTTAAAATGAATTAGCTTAGCAACTTTGATGCAGCATTTGACTGGACTTGATGCAGCATTTGACTGGACTTGATGCAGCATTTGACTGGACTTGATGCAGCATTTGACTGGACTTGATGCAGCATTTGACTGGACTTGATGCAGCATTTGACTGGACTTGATGCAGCATTTGACTGGACTTGATGCAGCATTTGACTGGACTTGATGCAGCGTTTGACTGGACTTGATGCAGCATTTGACTGGACTTGATGCAGGATTTGACTGGTCTTGATGCAGGATTTGACTGGACTTGATGCAGGATTTGACAGAATTTGATGCAGGATTTGACTGGACTTGATGCAGGGTTTGACTGGACTTGATGCAGGATTTGACTGGACTTGATGCAGGATTTGACTGGGCTTGATGCAGGATTTGACAGAATTTGATGCAGGATTTGACTGGACTTGATGCAGAATTTGACAGAATTTGATGCAGGATTTGACTGCAGGGTTAGAATTTGACTGGACTTTAGGCTACATCTGGTGCTGGGTCTGGAAAGGTTTAATGCAAGATTTGGCTAGATTTGATGCAGGATCTGCCTGGATTTGAGGTACAACAGAGCTGTACACGACATTTCATTTGTCTATGACATTCAATTCATAATCAGTACATAGACTTAGGGCTTAGCCTTTACTATATAATTGCCTGAATTGTGTACTACTTTATATTTTGTAACCGTATTTATTACACATGAGTAAATGCACCTCTTACAACATCAAAACAAAGAATCATCTTATATGAAGCGTACTCAAACCCATACAATGCTGTCAGTGCCAAATATAGTTAATGACAAAAGCACACCCACCCACATGCACATACATACACGCGAACAAATTAGTAATTAGGAAAACGGGATACCTGAGAAAAGTTGTGGGAATGCCCAGAAAACATACAATTAGGAAAGAAGTTATAAGAAAAACTCACCACAAAATGGCTACTGAATTACATAAAAATACAGCAGATAAAATAGTTTGCCACTTAGAAGGCCTTATGACGCCATATCATTTAAGGCAGGGATTCCCAAACTGTGCGCCGGGGCTCTTTTGGCAGCTGCAACCTTCCTCACAGGGGCGCCGCAAAATATTCGAAGATACACAAGTTTTTTTTTTTTTAAATCTTTTACAAACGAATAGTCAGACCTTTACTTAGGTTAGGGTTAAGGGTTAGGGTTTCATTAAAAATGTGAATTGAAAAAAGGTGCAGCAACTAAAACAAGTTTGGGAAACACTGATATAAGGCGTATACTAAAAGGGAGGGACGTATGAGACAGAACAAGAACAACATGGAGAGATAACATTAGAGAAATTCTACAGTTCTATGGTGTGTGATTAAGGTAGACAGGAAAGAAAGAATCAGAATCTTTATCTCCCTCGACACCTGAAGCAGTAAAAGGGGAAGTGAAGGCATCAAAATATCATGCGCACACACACACACAGAACTGATAAATGCATTATTTGTATGTGTTACCAGTGCCAGACATAGACACGACTAGAAAACATAAACTTAAAATTACATGTGAGATTATGGTGACCGTATCTTGCCATTTTTGCCAGGACAGTATCTTTTTAGGTAGGGCCAGACCATCACGGCGATACTTCCCCCCCCCCCCCCCCCCCCTTTTTTTTTTAACACTAAAACATTTTTTTTTTCCCAGTATTGACGTGATGGTCTGGGCCTAACTAAAAAGTAATACCGTCCTGGTGAAAACAGCACAACATGGTCAGCCTGTGTGAGATGAGAGATATGAGAAATCTGGCGGGAAGAACAAGAAGGGGCAGAGTCACTAGTGAAGAACTAAGAACAATAGTAGGCACTCTACCAGTAGTCGATTTCACAGAACTAGCCATGCAAGGAAGCCACGCCGAACTCGTGCTTTCCATAAATGCTGCATAAAGTGAAACGGGATAGCCACACAAAAGGTGCCATTGGCAAAAGGGATGTCTAACATACAGAGAAAGACAGATGTCCATTTGGTGAGGGTAATCCAAGTCTCGGGTCTGCATTAAATAGTTGATAATCTGTTCAGAATGGAGAAAAGTCAGCCTGCCGCTAGTAGCCACTACATGAGAACAGCAGGCTTCAAGGCAAGAGGCCGACCAAGAAAGAGATGGGCAGAGGGAGTAAAAGAAACACCACAGAAATGCAGTATGACTTTAACACAAGTTATGCAACTAGCAAAAGACAAGAAACTGCACATAAATCCCCTCTGTCATGCCTTATGGCAAAAACAGTTGGGCAAAAGAAGAAGAAGATTGACTGTTGTTAAAACTGCTGTCTTTAAATGAGTCAAACATTCAATGTATCCTTTTTTCCCCCTAGCCACATTCTGGTAACAACAGTACAGAAGAGTTCTCCATGAAAGTTGAAGAGTTCCCCATGAAAGTTGAAGAGTTCCCCATGAAAGTTGAAGAGTTCTCCATGGAAGTTGGTACATCAGACAGTGTGGACGAGGGAGATTGCACAGAGATGGACGTTAAACCACGTTTGTTGTTTGTTGAAGATACAGGTGCACATATTTGCTAGTGTAACTTGTCAATAGAGAGCTTAAGTTGTGGCTTCTGCAACATCATTGTTTGTATCTTTTGGTTGTTATTGTCATGGATTTAGTTTTATTTATGATAGCTGGCCAGCCATTTTGCACAGAGAGTAACTGTTGCCGTTCCACTGTTTAGGGCGATGTAGACACCGGGTCGCAAGCTTTGGGATTTATGGCCGCACCGCTATTGCTTTCGCCAGTGACTATACAGGTTAGGACCTTTAATTTTGCCCCTAACAGAAAAATGTCATCACCTTACTGGGAGTTGAACCCGGGTCTCCGACATGAGAGCCTAATGTTGTAAGCGCTCGGCCAGCCGCTTCTGCACAGAGAGAATAAGCCACAATAAACAAAATCTGATGCAACCAGTCAGTCCTCAAGAAATTTTTTAAAAGAATAAAAGAAAAAATTTAACTCTCATCATCTTCTGTTGGACAACAAAGACAAATAAAAAGACTTTCGGGAAGTGGGTGAACTTAGTTAAGTATCCTTTACAGGACGTTGCAGAACCAAACAAAATGTTTTTTTTTTTTTAGCTCTTGCGGTTTTTCTGGGCAAATTTACATTCAGTAGTTTACTGAATGGTCAGCTCTTGATATCTCTATCAAAACTCAACGTAAGGCTGTCTGCTGCTAAATTGCCTGCAGTTTTGATCAAACCCGGCATTATGAAGTTGCATTCATAACGCCTAAGGCACTGGCGCTTACTGTAAGAGAGTGTTAGAAAAAATAAAACTGAAGATTTATGCCTCTCTGTCGATATAATTAACGAGCTGCTAACACTGAGGGAGATTTCTTACTTTCTTTGCTTCAATCTTCTTCTACCTTGGGGTGTAGAGTTTGCCAGAGAGATTGACAGACTTCTCTATCAGCAGTTTTCTGTTGGCTTTATTTCATTCCAGTCCTCTGTCAGTCAGTGATTGTTGTCTTCCCAGTGAACTCTGGGTCTTCCTGGAGATCTGGTTCCCAGTTTCTTTGCCTTCTATCCTTCATACATGTTCAAACCATCATAACTGTGACTGATCCACTCGAGTTAGTAAAGCCCACGTTTCAAAATCCTGACATATTTTCTGGTTACAAACTTTTTTTTTTTTTTTCGCTTGGACTAGCTTTCTCAGATGTTATTGTTCGTCCATCAAGAGTAATGAAGACCACTTTTCATCCAAAGTAGCAATGATTATGAGTATGAAGGTGGATGATTAGTCCAGTATGAGCTTTGGAAAGTTCTTGAGCAGTGCAGACAACAGGTGGAACCGGCAGTAAGTGTGCGATTGGTGATACGGTTCTTTCTAGTCTGCCTCCGTTTCTCTGCCTGTGCAACCGTCCCTGTCTGGCCGGCTGATGCACCCTGCCTGAGGTCATACAGAACTTCCGGTGAAGTCGCCTCCCATGTCGCAGTGGATGAAAGTGACATGCGCAAGGACTTGGATTAAAGTGAAGAGTTGCGTAATTCGTTGACCTCACTCTCTCATCCAATGGCAGTGACAGTGTCAAGATGATTGAAAATGGACCTAGGTGCAGTGGATGACTGAGGCAACCTAAATGCCCTGCCTTGCTGGAAGCTCTCCACAGAGCCTGCTGGGGATCGCCTTCTTGTCCGTTAAACCATAAGCCGTTTCATCTGCACAGTCCGTGGGTAACTCTCTCAGATACGTTATTTCCCTCAACATGCTAATCATAGAAAATGACGAATTAGAATGAATCAAGTAGTCAGTAGTCAGCGAGAGTTGACATGCTAATAATAATAATTGCAACCTGGTTAAAAGTCAAGCCCGGCTCGGTTTTTATCCTAAATGTTGAATGTCTTCCAGAATCTCCACCCCCCCCCCTCCCCACCCCTGGTTGAATTAGTCATTCAGTGTATTGATTCCCTGTCTGTTCTAATGCAATGTCCGCTTGATCCTGTAGAGCCTTTATCACAAACACTTTATGATAAAGTAGCTCACGGCCCAGAGGAGCAGCAGATACCAATCTATCAGCCTGATTGTTACCTCGCACACCTGAAGGTCCTGCACAGAAAATCTATGACATGCTCCTGATCTGGGCATTATCAAGTCTTGTAAGCCACTCTGCCAGCCGAGCGCTAGTTTCAGTTTGTCGAAACATGCTCTGTGAGTCTGTTACATGACAACATGTCTGGCTGTACTGCTCTCATGCCATTGGAAAGCTTACAGGTGGTTTCTTTAAAGGTTGGACTGCATCAGTCTGAGAAGCAAGAAATAACCAAAATGTATAAAAGAAAATTCAGATCTGTAAAAGGGATGCTCATACAAAACTCAAGTTCTGGATCAAGACAAAAATTCAGAAGTGGATAAACAACCAGGAGTTTCCATTGGAGTTTACAGCAGGTGAAAGCTAAGAAGAAGAAGAATGTTTCTGCCGTAGTGCTGTTATATAATTGTAATGATTCACATAGAACTGTTATATAATAGTTTTAATTATTGTCATTGTATTTTTACAGAAACAACACCATGCTCAGTAAACGTACCTGAAGCTACTGAAGAAACAAATATGCAACCAAAGAAACAGAAGAAAGTGCAACCAAAGGCAAAGAAGAAAGTGCAACCAAAGAAACAGAAGAAAGTGCAACCAAAGACAAAGAAGAAAGTGATATCTGAAAAACAAAAACAAACCAAACGAAGCAAAAAGGGAAAAGGTGCATCAGTGGCCGCGGTGGAAAGTCAGATAACACAGGACAGCGACAGCACTCAGAGTCTTAGTGCTGCCTGTGCTGTTAATGGAGATGCCAGAGGTCATGACCTCAGAGGTCATGGAGGCAACATTGTTTCCAGTGGCACTGGTGGAGATTTGAACTCACAGTACAGCAAACGTACAGATGCTGTTTCATACAGTTGTGAGGCGGATGGGCTGGAAATTCATTTTGATACTGGCGTAAAGCAGGGTTCAAAAACCAATACAACGGATAAACCATTTAGTTGTGATATTTGTGGTGTATCCTTTAGTCGAAAAAATAACCTTCGAGCACACAAAACCACACATTCAGATGTGAAACCACATAAATGTGATATTTGTGGTTCATGTTTTAACCGCTTAAGTAACCTCCGAGTGCACGTGAAATCCCATTCAGCCATAAAACCTCACAGATGTGATGTTTGTGGTTCAGGGTTTGCATGCCAGGGCCACCTCAATGCACATATGCGAATGCATACTGGGGAGAAACCTTACAGGTGTCTTGTTTGTGGTGCAGCCTTTGCTCAGGCCAGTTATTTGCGACAACACAGAGTTATCCACACGGGAGAAAGGCCTCACCAGTGCTTCATTTGTGATGCATCATTTGCTGCCAGAGGTGATCTGAAGGTGCATAAGAGAATCCACACTGGAGAGAAACCATACAGGTGTGAAATCTGCCCCGCTGCTTTCTATCGTTCAGGGCACTTAACTGTGCACAAGAGAAGCCATACCGGAGAGAAACCACATAAATGTGATGTATGTGATGCAACATTTTCCCAGAATAGGAATCTTATAGAGCATATTAGAATCCATACGGGAGAGAAGCCGTACAGATGTGAGATTTGTTTTGCTGAATTTTCTAGAAGAGGCTGTCTACACGAACATGCAAGAACTCACAGTAAAAACAAACCCTTCATATGTGATATTTGTGGTGTGTCATTTTCTAGAAAACCCTACTTAACTAATCATACGAGAATTCATACGGGAGAAAAACCTTATGGGTGTGATCTCTGCGGTGTCTCGTTTGCTACGAAAAGTGACCTGAATATGCATAAGAAAATTCATACAGGAGAAAAACGATACAAATGTGGCTGCGGTGCAACATTTTCTCGAAAAAATTATCTGGTGGACCACAAGAGAACCCACGACCTACTTAACTTTCCAGCAGGTGCTTAATGTGTGTACGCTGGAACAGACACACGGAGAAGAAAACTTGGAGTTGCAAAATGATTCTGATTTGAAATATAATCTCCAAAAACCCACTGAATTCAAGACAGAGACAGTGACTGTGAAATCTGAAGAGCAAGCAGCATTGTTAGAGATAAAAACAGAACATGGTTGAACATAAGACAGTTTACCAAGAACAATTGTGTTTTCATACAGTCAGAGAAATATTCCATTGTGTCAGTTTATCTTGGCCTGTAGCAGTAGCCTTACATCTTTAGTTCAGATGTAACAGAGACCTCACATCCAAAGTTTGGCTATAATAGAGACCTCACATCCAAAGTTTGGCTATAATAGAGACCTCACATCCAAAGTTTGGCTATAACAGAGACCTCACATCCAAAGTTTGGCTATAATAGAGACCTCACATCCAAAGTTTGGCTATAATAGAGACCTCACATCCAAAGTTTGGCTATAATAGAGACCTCACATCCAAAGTTTTCTCTATAATAGAGACCTCACATCCACAGTTTGGCTATAATAGAGACCTCACATCCAAAGTTTGGCTATAATAGAGACCTCACATCCAAAGTTTGGCTATAATAGAGACCTCACATCCATAGTTTGGCTGTAACAGAGACCTCACATCCAAAGTTTGGCTATAATAGAGACCTCACATCCAAAGTTTGGCTATAATAGAGACCTCACATCCATAGTTTGGCTATAGCAGAGACCTCACATCCAAAGTTTGGCTATAATAGAGACCTCACATCTATAGTTTGGCTATAACAGAGACCTCACATCCACAGTTTGGCTATAATAGAGACCTCACATCCATAGTTTGGCTATAATAGAGACCTCACATCCACAGTTTGACTATAACAGAGACCTCACATCCACAGTTTGGCTATAACAGAGACCTCACATCCACTGTTTGGCTATAATAGATACCTCACATCCACTGTTTGGCTATAATAGAGACCTCACATCCACTTTTTGGCTATAATAGAGACCTCACATCCAAAGTTTGGCTATAATAGAGACCTCATATCCACAGTTTGGCTGTAATAGTGACCTCACATCCATAGTTTGGCTATAATAGAGACCTCACATCCA